AGGTCAGTATTCTGGCAAAGATGATCTTTTCAGATTTCATGCTTATTGCACATGTTAGCATATTATCACCTCTCTTCTGCCTCACCAAATACTGCAGAAGCATTAGCATGGAATGGAATGCATGCTCTCGGTTAGTTTTTTTTTCGCTTTTCTCTCTCGTGCCAAAATTTCCATACGCGACGCGGATTCAAGGTTTGGCCAATACTTTCAGTTCGCTTGCAGTTCGTATGGGGTAGGGAGTACGATAGGTATCCGTTCCTGATTGGACAGGTCGCACAACCGATCGTTATCCGATCCTACTCCCTACTCGACCTGCAAGACTGAATGCGGCTTTAGTAACGGAATTCAGTGCATAGCTGAAATTGGTTGGGGAAGCTAATCGCTCGAAGAGGGGCAGCTATTTACAACATTCACCTTACGGGAAGCGCTTCTGAAATCGCTGGGAATTGTCCAACAAGACATGATGCGGGTATACGTGAAAATAGTATGGATATAGATTTGGCTGGTTTAAGAAGTAGCACGCGCTGATGAAGGTCGCCAGTCAGACTTTGGTAAAGCTGTTCTTCAACCTTACAAAGTAGTTTCATCTTTCAAATTTATTTAGGTGACACCAATTTTAATCACTCTTAGTTGTCCACACAAAACTCGTCTGAAGGGCAATAAGGGCCCGATCAATTCTGCCTCATAATTATGTACTTCAGAAGCTTCTGCTGCTGTCACCCGTACGAATCTATCGAGAAGTGAATTGGCAGCTTTATGGACACGTGATGATGTGAGCTCATTTTGAATCTCACTTGATTAAGCTTTCCGCTTCTACATTTTTGACCTGATTCCAAGGTATAAATCGGTGTGTGTAAGTATTAGAGCTTACTCTTCATTTCAGTTGGCTGAATACTGCACAGACAGTCTAATACCAGCAGAAGGAGGTATTCAAAGGCTTCATGCGGGAGTTTATCGGCAAGGACTGAAGAACTATTCTGTGAAGAAACCAGCTATAACCGATGAACAAATAGAAATCTTGTTCAAACGTGAGTGGCTTACAATCATCTTTTGCTTAGAAGTTTTTCTTCCTAGTTTATTTGTGTATTTATACGAATGCTCATTCAAAAAAGCCAGCTTGCAAAGGGTTTTTTGCCTTTATTTTTTCTGGATCAGTCAACAGATTAGTTGAGTCCTTCCTTCTTCTCTAGTGTTAAAAATTTTTATAGTTTGATACCATTTCTTCATCGCCCTGAAGTCCTGCGCATGATAGTGTGGATGATCGGACATGAGGACTCTTCCTGGACAGGTTGAACAGAGTGAGTTCGTTTGCATAAACTGGATTTTTTCTCCGAAATTCTTTGAAGCGATCTTTTATGTGATATTTTTGTTTTCAATGTTTTCAATAGCTTGAAAATACATTAAATGTTGGTGATTATGTCATGAATTAGTGTGGATTGATGGAACAGAACCGGTGCAAGGATAAGCCACCGGGTGCTCATGTGTGTGGTCGTTGTAGATATCAATTCAACGCCTAAAATTAACGGTGTTGTAATTGCCCACTCAAATTCATTGCTCCGTAAGAATCTGTACATAATGAACAACCACTATCTACTCAGATCAAGTGCTCCAAAGCAGAAACCCACCGAGTTACGGGCCGCAGCAGTGTCGGTCGGCAGCATATGCTGCCGACACGCCCACTCGTCCGTGATTGGCTACCACCACAAAGGTTACTGCGTGCAGACACGAGCCAGCCAGTCAGAGACTAGTGGGCGTGTCGGCAGCATATGCTGCCGACACTGCTGCGGCCCGTAACTCGGTGGTTTCTGCTGGAGCATTAAAATCCTACTATATATAAGCGGCTAGCGTGTGTCTGTTGGTGTGTGTGTGTGTGTGTTTGACCGGAAATTCATAGCTCGAGTCACAGTAACGATAGCGCAGTGGTTCTTACATATGTTATAGGGGGTGGGATGGACACAAGTGGTACGTGATAGGAACTGATAACGACTGATAATAGCTGATAAGAGGGGCTAGAAAGCGAGCATCGCCAATTTCGTTTTGCCGTTCATATTGGTAAAGAGCGTCTATACTTACAAGTCTTATGTGGGGCGGTCCCGGGACATTGGTGGTACATGATTGGAAGCGATAGCAACTGATAATGGCTGATAAGATGCGCTAGAACGCAAAAGTCGTCGATTCCGTTGCCTGGCTCGCGTTGACACCAGAGCAACCATACTTACAAGTGTTATGTGGGGTGGGACGGGGACATTGTTGGTGGGTGCCAGAAACTGATAACGATTGATAAGGGCCGATAAGGCGCGCCAGAACGCTGAAGTCGTCGATTCCGTTGCCTGGCTCGCGTTGACACCAGAGCAACCATACTTACAAGTGTTATGTGGGGTGGGACGGGGACATTGTTGGTGGGTGCCAGAAACTGATAACGATTGATAAGGGCCGATAAGGCGCGCCAGAACGCAAAAGTCGTTATTTCGTTACGCAGCGTTGACACTAGAGCGTTCCTACTTACAAATTGTAGTAAGTCGTAGTAGTACAAACAAAGGTACGTGCACATTATTTCGATATATATCCAGCTTACTTAATAGCAGTCGATTGCATAAATTCAATCAAGTCTTCAGCAAATGATAAGTTTCATTTCTATCACGAAAGCCCAGAACTCATTAAACCGCTAATCCTTTCGGGTTCTAAATAATGGTGAAATGTAAATAAATGATAAGCCTTAGCTCCTCACTTATGTAAATAGGCATATTTCGTTTTGATTTTGAGACTGACAGCAATCCTATTCACCGCTAAATTATCTTAATTCAAGAAAAATGCTGGATGTTTACAGTTGTGATCAATATACCACAGCTCAGACGTTATCACGCGTATTCTCGATGAGCTTCAGTGAAACTGTGGAGGGTCTAACACAGTCAATAGTGAGATGGTTAATGGAGTATCTCATGCTGATATTCCATGGGTCCTCCAATTTCGCTAAAGCCTGCCGTGTGATGCGCGCGATAGCGGGCGAAGCAAAACTGGTAATTTTAAATAAGATCAAAAGGAGAGCCGAAGAGCGAAAAGTAGGTTTCTAATTATTTTTATTAATATTGGCATTTTAATTGAAACATCACTTGTTCAGTATCATTTTAGTAGCTTTGCTCGACGGCATTCTTTCCGTATCGCCGATCGGGAAGAATATGGATTTCGCTGGCAGCAGTTTGACTAGCATTGATGTTAAGGCATGCTTTTTTCTC